GCCCTACAGTTGCAATTTCTTATGAATAGGAAAAATGTAAATACATGGCATATCTTGTAAATGTAAAAGACTGAATGCATGGTTAGATTTATTAAATTGTCTCACATAATATACAAATACCAAATTATTGCTCAAAACCAGAAAGTTTCACAACTTACAACGATTCCAAATGAATGAGAGGTAGAAAAAATTATCCATGACTCTCCCAGTGAATCATGATTCTTTACATATAAACAAAATAGAAATAAGTTTGATAGTTGCAATGGGTTAAAGATATGGCTAGCAGTGGGGGTTCTCTCTTAGCCTCTACCTATAACAAGTGTAGTGGGAAAAGGAAAATTGAGGATGAACAACAGGATTTTTATAGACAATACAATGCATTAGATTGTGGAATAGTCACTAGCCTAAATGGTAGAGAAAGAATCCTCATTACTTGTTATATTTATTGCTAGACCAGACTGAACATTATAAATATGCATTGAAAAACAACCGTGCATTAGCAAGAAAATGGATGATTCAACTCAAATAGGCTGTTTCTGATCTACAGCTTCTCTCATTCACAGCAGCCTGTCTAGAGGCTCAATGCATTTGTGGAAAAGTAAAGTTAATGCCTCTTAGACACTTTAGGTCAATTTTGAGATTTCATATAGTTAATATTACTTGTATATTCTACAATACATGTCAGTCTTATTTTGTTCCTGTACATTAACAATGTTCTAAGAAAACCTTTTCTTTTTTCCTTGCTTTTCATATCTTTTCCCTTTTTTCTTAGATGTCATTGTCAGTGTATATAAATAAATTCATCTTTTGTTCCAACCTACTTTTATGTCCCATCACCTTTTATTAAAAGGGACTATCACATAAATTGTAGCCTAATTTGTATCTCTTCTCACAATCACACTGTTACTATAATAATTCCTGAATCAGGGAGTTTCTACTTTTCCCAAGACAGCTACGAACCAAAAAAGTAAACCGCCACTCTAGCAATAACCCACTTACAAGCCACAACATGTTATGTATTAATCTTGCTAGTTTGTCGAACAATGGAAACTCAAAATATCAACTTCAGAGCTAGTTTTCCAAGATCTCATGAAGCCAAGAGATTTGTATTCACCAAAAAAACAAAGACTGACTAAAAATGAAACAACCAAAAATGATTATAGTTTATTTTTCATGTTTTCTTTCAAATGAAAACTGACTATAGAGTTAGGAACTTTCACTATTATTTACTGGGTAATTGGAACCATGGTGTGGGTTTAATCGATTTTTCTCGGCTCATCAAGGAAATACTACCCAGGTGTGCTAATGGAGCAAGCAAAAGGGTCTAAAAAGTTTGTTAAAAATGCATACACAAACAGAACCAGCAAGAACAAGAGAAGTTAGAGACTTTAAATATGGTTCTTTAAATGTTAGATGCCATTATGTTGCGCTGCCATACAGAAGAATCAGAATTTAAGCTTTATGACCTCAGCTGGAGGTAGCAACAAAAATATACTGCCTGGTGCAAAAACATTCATTCTTGACTTTGAATCAAGGCAGTTTGAAACAATCAAAATCCTTGTCTTCCTTCATGAACAAATGGCAGTAATTACTAGCCAAAGATGACAAGACATGAAATTGGAGAGGGAAGGCATGTGGGAAGTCGACTAGTGTCTTTCCATTAATGCACCTTTCATTCGTTACATTTAGAAGGAAAATAAAATAATATTTATTTATATTTAAAATAAACTTCAAACTATAATGCTGCCAACTTACTGTAGAGATTAGAATGTACAATATTTTAAGAAGAAATCTCTTTTCTATAACTTTGAGGCATTTGGCTGCTGGTCACTGCCAGAGACTAAATAGCATCTGCTCTCACTTTAGCAGTTTATATTCTGACTCTGGTGAATGGAAGCACAATCTCTGAAACAGCCTTTGGGGAAAACTACTGAGTTTCTCTACAGAACTCTTGCTCAGAAAAGAGAGAGGAGATTAATATTACAGAAAACTTGAAAGAACAAGCTTCTGAGAAAAGAGTGAATAACAGTTTCCTAATACTGTATATACACCAAGCCTTTCTTTTACTAAAACATTACAAAGGTGCCTTAAAACTTAGCTGACTGCTAAATACGACTGGGTTTAAAGATAGAAAATAAGTTGCAATGGCAAATCTTTCAGATACACTGCTTTCTCTTATATCCAATGTATTTCACCTTGTTCATCAGCAGGCATAACAAAAAACGTAGAATAACAGGGGTGTAACAGAGACTCTCCTTTCCTAATGTGCTTAAGAATGTCACAGGCTCCTTGCCTGCGTCCTGGCATGCCTAGCCATAGCAACACATGGTAAAACTGAATTCTGTAATACTCAATGTCATTATTTTAAGTGCCCAGTAGCACAAACTAATTTTATACATTCATGTGTGATCAACCAAATCTGGCCACACACAATGGAAACAAAGCTTCTAAAAGCTTCAAACTCAGCTGCAGAAATTCTCTCCTTAAGAGCTGTAAATCCTACATAGTAGCCACAAGTGAATCCCACAACCAGTTTCAAAACTATAAAAGCCTATCTATAAAGCCAAAATAAAACTCTGTTAGTGGCTGCAGGAGATCACTTGAAGTGGCTGTTCACTTGGATACATTGCTTTGTGAAATGTAAATCCATGCAGCTGTTCTTAAAAGTTATCACTGAAAACAAAACTTTTCCAAAAAGCCAGTAAAGCTTCAAAATAGCCATAGTGATTTGTTCCTCAAAGATGCAAACTCCAAAAGGCAAGATGAATACTGGTGTATGATTCCCAAAGCATGTACAGATTTGTGTAAGTCCTACACTTTTAATTACACATACATGTCATACAGTAATTGTTATGCCAGGAAAAAATAGCTAAGGCTTACACATGGCACCTTCATAACATAAGTAACTCTCATTCTTTTTTCTTTTTTTTTTGTATTCTTGTGCAACACACCAGGATAGCACTCCTATGGATACTGTTTCAAAACACTTGTACTGAAAGTTGGTAACACCAGATTCAGAGAACGTCTGTTAATATTTTCCCATAACACCATCATCATGACACTGCAATAGGATAATTATGGATTTACACAGCATTTATTTTTCCCACTATAACCCTAACCCTATAAGAAGACTGATCGCCATACATATATATAGGTTGCAATGCTATAAAGACTTAAGAGGCTTATGTAAAAAAGTTTGAATTTACTGAGAATGAAACCAAGGGTTACATTTTCAAAAGCACCTGTGCAACTTAAAACCCTAAAACCAATTGATTTTTAGCAAGACTAAGACCCAAATTTTTGAAGACAGCCAGGTGACTGACTCCTTAAAAACCTGTAGAAATTCAAAACAATAAGATTAAGGCTCATAAATGCCAAAAGCGTTTTGAAAATGGAACTTCAGCTTTGAAGGAAATTTGGTACCTCTAAAAACATTATTCTAAAGGACAATAAAATAGTTTTCCGGACATTCTTAGATGCTATGAGTGAGATCCTATTCCACGTATTGGGCATTTAAGTGGATCCTATTCTACCTTGCTCTTCTCCCTGAAAAAAAAACAGTAATGTGAAAGGTGGGCAAGCCCTTACCACTTTTTGTTGTTCAGGCTATGGATACACATTACATTTCTGCCAGGAGAAAAGCTTTTCTCCCAGCACAAAAAGAGTTCAAGGGGTTTTTCTGCAAGAGAGAACTGGATCTTCCACAAAAAAAAAAACTGAAAGCACTTCCAACAAGGAAGAACTCTTTTCCCACACCAGTCTGAATACCTGTAGAGGGATAACCCCAGTATCCCACAGTCCACTTTTCCTCTGTTCAAGAGGGAGGGAGGTAGAGCATTGCTCCCTATTAGTCCACCCAGGGTAAGATGATCAGGGAGCTCTATGGTGACCCTGCTGCCACTGAACTGACCCAGCTCCTTGGGTCAAAATATGGAGGAATGTCCCATCCTGCCAACCAACTACCTGGAGGCAGTCTCCCACACTCTTACTAAACCTCTCTTACAGCTCCAGAACAGTTTCAGCTGCCAAGGCCTCTGCTTCTTGCCCCATGCACAGCTTAAGGTTTCCCTGGACCTGGGCACAGTGCTGGGAGCTGGTCTCCTGCAGCTGGTCTCCTCTCAAAGGAAGACAGGGAAAGAACTGTCTTCCAATCATTCCAGGTGTGTTGGAAATAAACACCTGTCCATCCTTTCAGTCTCAAGGTTAAGGTGAAAGAATATTACAAACACTGAGCATTAACAGTTTTTCAAGAATTATAGCAACCGTAGAAGAGGATTGCATAAAACCTAGTAGGTATCACAGGATCTGGCCTATGTGAACATTACAAGCTCACCCAGTTACAGTAATAGGAAAAAATACTGAGTACAGTATAATAAATTTCCCTTCTATTTATTTTTTTACAGTGTTACTAATTTTAACTTTTTTAAATTGAAGAATGAATTCATAACATTTGTTTTTCAACTGGTAGCATAAATAATTTTATCTCCACTGCGGTATAAATTCCATGGAATTTAAGGCATTGTAGAAATTAAAAATAGGTATATGTATCTATTTTTTTTTTTTAAGAAAAATATTCTGCTCATACAATCTCAGTCGTTTGCTCAGCCACTAGAGGAAAAATGCAGGAGTTCTGGACTATACTCACTCAAAGAAATGCTCTTGGACCTGAAAGTTACTTTACCTCTGTCTCTTAGCTTCTTGATGTGTAAAATGTGAATAATACCCTACCTGAAAGGGGCATTGGGAAAATTAATTAATGTTCACATGACACTGAGATCCTTGGATGGAAGGCAAAAGAGAAACAAAGTATTAAATGTAAGAATTGTTTTGTTGCAATTTGAAACAAGATATTATGAAACTACTTGCATAAAAAAATACTTACAGTAGCTTAATTACACCAGTCCAGAAAGCTACAGCACACTGTGCCTGAACCAAAACTTAAGCTTGAAATGAACAGATCTAAAGCAACTACTATCAAAAACAAATGAGGTACTTCTCACCCATTTCTAGTATGCGCTTATGTAAAGGGATAGCTGCAAGAAAGGGCTCATCTTTACAAGACTGTATCTGTGTTCCAACCAAGTCAGAATTGGTTGCCATGATTCGGGCATTTTCTTCATTTAGGTTAACTCCAGCCATAGAGGCAACATCATTGATGTCATCATCATCTCTATAACAAAAGCATAAACAAAAGATAATTTTGTATGCAATACAACCTTTACAAATTCCAAAGAGAATAATCATGCAATGCCTAATAAGAAATGTGAACCAGTTTGATGGTATAGCCACCCTGCTCCACATTATCATGGAAATAGATTCAGATAAGAACATAATGCAACGTATTTTTCCGACCACTCAACATCAGGCAATCTACAAAAGTGGTGTAATTTATCTCAAAGGAGACTATATGCACAATACTAATTTGGCACCTTTCCTCTGCCTGGGAAGAGTACAAACTATAACAGCATGACAGATACATAGCCACATCATGAAAGTTAATGGCAGTCACAGACCAAAAGTCACTCACTTTGCCTTGCACACAGGTAATGAGGTGGGAGGCAATCAATTAGCAACCAACAAACAAAAAGTGCACAGATATTAAAAACAATGCACTATTTATTTCAAATCTCTCAGATTTTGGAAAGTTCTTGTAACACCTGGATCCTTTGTGTTTGGCTGACTGCAGATAATTTCTGTTTAGGTTTGAACATGGTCAAGATATATATTGAGGTTTTTCTTCCCCCTGGGGATTTATAAAGACTAGGTGTCTATGGCAATTTTTTAAAATTAGTTTGATACTTCTATTATATTTTATTCTACCTAAGTTCTTATATATTGCCTATAATTGTAAATGCCTTCAAGTAAGTGCATTCCAGTACTGTATTAAGCAAGGTAACTTCCATCTGTCATATGTCTGTCCTCTCATCTTCTCCTTAGGATGGTGGCAGGGGTGGTAGCAGAAGGATAGTATGTATAGAGTGCCTTTTTGTGGGGAGGAGGGCAGGGATCGGGCAGGGGGAGGGTTTGGTTTGGTTTTGTTTCAATGTAGTTAAAGTTGGAAACAGCAAGGGCAAAGAAACACCGCCTATGCTGAAGGGGTGTGATGGGCCTTAATTCCCTAGGCAGCACATTTCAGCCTGCTGAAGTCTCTCTCCTACAGAAACACTCTTCTTCATGATCAGGAAGCATTAGTGGCCTCACTGTCGAACACAGCAGCAGTGGGGTCACTTGATTTCTTTCTTAAAAAGAAATTCCAGGGGATAATATTGTACAATTAATCGGCCTTGATAGGTCTCATGCTGGGTTCAAATGATTTCCATTTCTACCTTTCATTCAGTGCATACATGAGACTGTTAGAAAGGTCACATGGGCTGCTATAAAGAAAACATGGGCAGCTGGGTAGTTACTGTGTGGACGACACCAACTTTGTTTCTACCTTATCCAAACCAGCTGGTGAAGCTCACCCTGGAGTGGTAATTGATAAATATATCTGCAGAGCTCTCTGCTCTACATATTACACCCATTGGGTATTTACATGCTCAATGAAAAGCTTTAAGAAATGTAGTTGCTAAAACTACAACTGAGAGCAAAAACAAATAAAAAATGTTTTCTAGCCAAAAAACTTCAGAAGACAGAAATCAGCACCATCCCAGAGAACTAAGCTAACTATGCTAACTGTATGAGATAAAGGCACCATTCTATCAAAACCATGTGAGCTGAATCAAAAACTGAAATGTGTGAATGTGGTGATCCTAAACACACACACATATTTAGATTAAGTGGTACAAAGAATAAGTAAAGTTAGAAAAAAAGGCTGGAGGCCAAAATCTCAAATAACTCAGGTATAGACCAAACTATCAACCTCTTTGAGTATGTGCATATATATGAATTAACTTGTACCAAGAACCAGCAAAATGAGGCTGCTGAAAAAGCAGTGTCAAATCGATGGCACCTAGCTGTAATCCCAATAACGCTCAACCCAGCTCACACAGCAGAGGAGTGCAGAAAGGTGTGGGCACAGTATTTCTGCATGTACTTTGACCTAGCCAGCATCCTCCATCAACCTATGATCATGGAAGTATCCCACAATGGCTCAGGGCACATGATGGCCTGGTGAGAGAACCCACCAGAAATGAGGGAGGCCACATGCTTTTTCTCCCTGCCTTTCCAGCCCCCCCGCCTCAACTATTACTTGTTTCATGCAGTAGTGGTTGGATCATCTCACAAAGGATTTGGCATCCACAACTGAAAAACTGTTGTCCTTCTTGAGGGATAAAGTATTTTATATTGCACCTCCACCTTTCCACTAATGGCACTACAGAGAAAGGCCTAAGGAGGTAAGCAAGTGGTACAAGAGCACCAAAAACAAAAAAACAAAACCCAAACCCCAACTTCAGTCACCACTGGAGTAAACAGTAGTGAACCATATCAGACATATTTTAAAAATGCCAAACCACAGTCTAAGAGCAGCACTGGCTTTAAAACAATCATCTATGTGAATGTTACAGGATCACAGGACTGTGTACAGCAACACACTTCCTGCCTGTGCCTGTGATGAACAAAGTAGGTATTAGCACACACACCAATGTAAATAACCAGAACAAAGACAACTCTATTTGTCAAACAGCAAACAAATATAACTGTATATAGCTTGCAAAGAGATCATAACCATAACCAATTAGTCTTATACTAACATTCAACCGTTATGTAAATAAGTACAAAGGCAAGTCATATATACAGTTGGACAAAAGAGATGCAAACTAAATCATGAACATGTTACAATTAGTACTACAGCCATATCGCAAAACCTAGCAAATACAATACTATTTATCTCTATATCAATGCTAAATTGTTTTCTCTTTACTAATTAACATGCTGATCCTTTATTCCTCATAAAGGAATAAATTCCTTGCACTGAGGTAATATACAGCTACAAAAAGCAAGAGACATTATTTTGTGTTCAATAAAAAAAATAAATGCATCTGGATCCAGTATTTTAAAAATAAATTATTGCTTCTACAGCCAGTATAAGCCACAATACAGTGCTGAAAACTTTCATTCCCTTCAGCTGCTCTATTAAGTTGCATGTATTCTAAACATGGCACTTGTATATAATATATGCTAAATTTACATCCAATCTTTTTCCCTATCAACTTCATCATAATTATGGCACTTTACATTTTTCTAAATGTAAATAAATAGTGAAAAGTATATCTGCAACAATAGACAAAACAAAAGTGGTTCAAGTGAACTAGCTGCATAATTATGAAATTATGGAACCCATTTTAAAAGCATTCATGGGTTTAGGTCATCACAAAAACCCCTAGATATAATAATTTCCTCATCTCCCTTAGCAATTATGTTATATATAATGTATATAAAGAATAAAAAATTACTACAGTACAGATAATCATTGGTGACTACAGATTTTCCAGTCTGATGGCAAAATCTCAACACTTTTTGAATATGAAGAATTGTAGCATGGAAAGGAGAGTGATTTTGGATGACATTATGAGGAAATATGACAAAAAAACCCTGCAAACATTCTCTCAATAGTTTTCTATAAAAGTCAGACTATAACTCCAGATCAGTGAGTTTTCAATAGTAATTCTGTAGAACAAAGATGCCATCCAGTGGTAGGTTAGATTGATAGTTACTATTTCCCATTCACATAAGAGCATATACTGTTTCACAACTTTAAATTCCTGCACATTACACTGTGCTAGCTCTAAGCTCATGACATGTTAGCTTATAATTCCCATTTTTGTACTACTATGTACTGGCTCTTATGGTACTGGAGGCAGTACCACAACTGCACATATTTTTTTAGTGTAAGGGAAAGCTCTCAAACTGTTTGACAGCTTGGACATCTTAACCACCAACGAGTCATTCTTCCTCCAAAATACAATCACAAAACCCACCTTCTCTCCATTTGCGTCACAGAATTATGAAACTGCTTACCTTGAATAGCAATGTAAAGACAGAAAACAATTTATTTTTAGTTGTCCCTAATCTAAGTTCAACAAATATGCAGAAATAAAAGAGCCAGCATTATGTAGCCAGCTAGTTGATGCCTGTAATTTATAATGAAGTCCTTATTCACAGTTGCATGCTATTTTTCCCTCCTAAGTTCTCAGCAGAGTTTGAACCTAGGACCTTCAAATACAAGTGTATTTGAACTCTTGCACTTGAGCTACAGAAGTAGACAGTGACAGAAGCTAACTTATTCATGAAACCTTCTTTGTTAAGGAGTTATACAATCACTTGTTAGAAATGTTAAATCTGACTGGAATCTCAGATGTGAGATTTTTCTGGCACCCAGGTAAACATGAAAATGTGAAAGGATGGATGACACTCAGGAGATCTAAGAGTTCTCTGGATTACAGTTTGAAAAGTGTGATAAAACAGTCGCAATATTTCAGGTGAAACTGTCATACCGTTTAAGTGTCAGTGGCACACCATATAGTACTTTAAAGCAATTTTGAAGTTTTAAATGTTAGTATAAAACATGCTTTGACTTATAGGAGCCTTGTACATGGGACAGGGGTTTAGTCCCCTAAACTGAAATGGTGGGTTTTTAATTGCAACAATTAAAAACCTACCATTTCAGTTTAGGGGTTTCTCTCACCGCTATGATGAGGGGCCGGATCCTTTTTTTTTTTCTTCCCCCATGCGGAGCCTGCCCGCCTCTCCCACAGCCGGGGGATGAGATGCCATCTGGCCAAGTGGCCCCTGAGCTGTGGGGGGCCCCAGTCCTTCCCTCTATGGTGATGGCACCCCCCGGAGCCTCCTGGGTGGGCTGCTGGTGCTGCTGCCATGAAGAGAAGGTCCAAGGCCCCCCACAAGCTCAGGCCCTACCAGCAGCTCACTCACCAGCCTTGGGAGGGGCAGGCAGGCTCCATGTGGGGAAAAAAAAAAAAAATTTAAAAAAGGATCAGGCCCCTCACCACATTTTCCCCCCTCCCTCCTCAGAGGAGCCTGCCCATGAGAGCTCCCACCAGGCTGTGAAGCCCCTGAGCTGAAGGGAGGGCCTGGTTCTTTCCTCCATGGCAGGGGTGCCCCCTGTGTGGGGTGCTAGCTGCATGGGTGTTGCTGCAACTCACAGCCAGCACCTGCCGGATCTCACTCTTCCCCAAGCCAGCGCAGGGAGCAGTACCCAGCAGGCTTCCA